CTGGGGGGTGATTTCTCGCTTTCGGTCTCTATGTCTCTCTTTGTCTGGCGAGCGCACGCGCCGTATAGCAAAAACCTCTCCAAAAAAAAAAAAAAAGACTATTAAGGGAAAGAAAAGACAGACCATAGACTGGGGGGAAAAAACTGCAAATAACACCTGACAAAGGACTTATATCCAGAATACATAAAAGACGCAACTCTTAAGAAACCAACCCAATTAAAAATATATGGCCAAAAGATTTAAGTAGATATGCTGTGAAAGAAAATATAAACACATGAGTTTTGGGATCAGCAGAGGGTGTAATGGTTATGTCGCTGGACTTCAATGTAGTCAACTGTGGTTCAAGTCCCAGCCCTGTGGGCTTCAAACTCATGCCGAGTGCATGTGCATGCATGCCCAAGATCCCAGGAGCAGAATGGAGGAAAAAGGATTGCAGTATGAGGAGTGATTCCTTGCTTCCTGTCTCCCTGTCTCTCTGGCGAGTGCACACAACTTATAGCAAAAATCCCTGTTTAAAAAAAATCTGCTAAAATTATAGACTGACCAGAGCAAGAAGGACAGAGGATAAGGAGAAACTGGAACTTACACACTGCTGGTGAGAATGTAGAACTGTACAACTGCTTTAGAAAACAACTTTGGAATTTCATAAAAAGTTAAATGTAAACCTACTGGAGCAGGCAGGTGGCATGGTGGTTAAGGGCGCTGGACTCTTACATGGCCAATTCAAGTTTGAGCCATGGACCTGGCGGCTTGCTTTCTCACTTTCCATTTCGCTCTCACTCTCTCTGGTCAAATTAAAAATAATAACAAGTAAAGTTAAATAAATAAATAATTATATATATATAATTTATACACACACACACACACATACATGTATATATAAACCTACCATAAGCTCCAGTTTACTCCTAGGTGTGATAGGCAGATAGCTAAGTATTGAGCAGGCAGCTCTAAGAAAACAGCAGAAGGACACACGCCACATCAGTTACAACTTATCAGGAGTTACAACCAGACCCTCCATGAAAATGCCTTCTTCCTACCCAGCTCCTAGCGCCAGGAAGGCAAGGCAAATCTCATTTTTCTTCCTTGGTACTTGAGGAACACACATAGGGATGGTTGCAAATCTCCCCCTTATTATTCCTCCTCAATACAAAAAGACCCAACCAGATATTTTGGTCAACCTCCTGATTCCCACTGGGGCAATAAACGAAATGGGCAGTTCATCATAATAAGGATGCTCCTGTCATCATGGCTCACACTGGGCATATGCAGTTAGGTAATCAAAGTCCTTGAACTCTTCACCTGTGAGAGAGTTGCGCAAGCCGTACAGGAAAAAGCCCGGGAATTCAAACAAAAAACATAGATGGTATGACAGACCTCCCACTGTTAAATATTCATTATCACCTCTGGTAATAAAAATAACACCTAACCAGTTCTAAATGAAGTTGCTCCCCAGCAACCTGCCTGCCCCAATGTCTTTTGAGTGTACTTGTTTTCTAAAATCTTTCTTTCCTACTAAATTCTTTTCTACCTATTTTTATTATGGTTGTGGCTTTATTTTTGTGCCTAGGGCAAGGTCTCTAATTTTAGTGATCTAGATCCAAAGGACCAAGGATCTTACACAACACAGTTCAGCACTCTCCAATCCTGTGATATACCTCACAGAAATGGAAGCATCTGTTCACAGGAAAACTTGCATTGAGTCTTTGTTTTATACTCAACAGTTTGTAGTAGCTTTATTTTTATTAGCCCCAAACTGAGAACAAAACTCCATCAACAGGCCAATGAATAAACCAATGGTGGAAGCATACTCAGTGATTAAAAAGGAGTGAACTATCAATACATGAAACAATGTGGAGAGAGTTCAAACTAAGTGTGCCGTATGAAATAAGCCAGACCAAAAAACCTTATGTACTACAGGATTCCACTTACATAATATTCAAGAAAATGCAACTTATCTATAGAGACAGCCAGTCAGGGGTTGCCTAGGGAAGGAGGCAGTGTAGAAAGCATTAGACACAATGAAATTTCTGGAGGTGGTGAATGTTCTCGATTGGGGTGATGGTTTCACATGTCAAACTTCATAAACTTCAAACTGCGTACTTTAAATATGTGCAATTTATTCTATGTCAAATACACCTCCCTAAAACTGTTTAAAAATAAATGAGTGTATCATGATCCACGTTATATTACACATATGACCTTACTCCTTCAGTCTTACACTAACCTTCTAACCTTTTGCTTAACAAAAGACCACATTCAAACCATGTAAAAATGCACAGATTTAATAATGTCGATTTCAAATTTCCTCTTTCCCAGCAGCACTAGGCGTCTGGGTAAGGTTGGTTCTATTCAGAAATCAAAGGACACCAGGCACAAGGGCAGTGACGTTTTTAAGTTCGCTAACTGAAAGACGGCCCTCAGTATGCAAATGTCTACACCTAGAAGATGGTAAACACGTACAATTTCTTTTAGGCGAAAGGACGTCACCCAGGACTGAGCCCGAACCTCCACATCTTGTCGGGGAAATGCAGCCGTAGGCTGAGACGAAGCGCCGGCGGCTAGAACAATGCGGGATTTGGTGAGAATCGGACACCAACTCTCCCAGCTTCCCACTTCCGCCGTGTTGCGGTGGAACAGGCGAGGAGCCGCGTCTTTCGTCCGACGCGCCCGCCAACCCCTGTACTTTCGGTCCGTCTCGCTCGCGGTCCCCTCCGCGCACTTCCGTCCGTCTCTGATCCTCTGCCCAGCAAGTGTGCGCTTAGCTGTGCATTTCTTCCGGGTCAGGTCAATAGGGTCAAGTGTGAGTGCGGTGTGCAGTTGCTCCTGAAGGTAGAAGGGTCGCAGGGAACCGCGGGGTCGTTCTTCCTCTTGCTCAGCAAGCGGGCCTTTAAGTCCCGCGGGCGCAGCGCCCCACCTTGGCGAGGTGCTGAAAGCTCGGCTCAGGCCCGAGAGGGGCGTCCTGATTCTAAGCTACCTCGTGTCATAAACGAGGAAGGCCAGACGGGGAGTGGGAGAGAACCCGGGTGCTCCCACCCCGCGCTTCTGCTGCGGTGCGGCTGGTTGCTCACCCTAACCCGAACGCCTCGTCCAGGCGCGGCTTGTTCGTGACCTGCCAGCGCTGCCCGTTCCCTCCCCGTCCAGCCTGCCGACCATGCCCGCGGGCGTGCCCTGGTCCACCTACGTGAAAATGTTCGCGGCCAGCCTCCTTGCCATGTGCGCGGGGGCCGAAGTGGTACACAGGTACTACCGGCCCGACCTGGTGAGTGCAAGGGGGTCCCCGTTCCCGCTCGGAGCCCACCCTTGTCACTGCAGCAACATTAGGGGTCACTTCTGCCCTGCCTGAACCTCTGGCTGGCATCGCATTGCCTCCAGAGCAATGCATGGCCTTCCCTTTGGCATGCTTCCCGGCCCCCTAGCCCCTCACATCTTGGCTTGGTTTCCCTCCTCGAAACTTGGAAGTTTTAAACTATTCCCTTCGGCTATGATGGTTCTGGTTCTTTGTCCAGCTCCTATAGGGTTACAACTTTGCTGTGCTGTCTTTTGTTTTCATAGAGCGCCCGGTCACAATTTGTAATAATTTTATTCCTTGTCTGCTTACTTGTTCTTCGTTCACGTCATTAGAATGTAAGCTCCATGAAGAGGACTGTGTCTGTCTGCCTCACTCTTGTATCTCTGACACCTAGAACAGACCTTGGGATGTAGTAGATGCTCCGTATTTGCTGAATGACAAATGAGTGAATTTTAGGCATTTAAAGGAGAAGAGATTTATATTAATTTTAATAAACATGCATCAAATTAGAATCTGGGAATCAAAGTGCTTATCAGGAATTAGGTCTTGAGGATGTGGAGGTGAGAAAGTATGGTACAAATGATTACAAGAGGGTGCTAAGCAGGTATCCTCTAGGTAGGGATAGAATGGTTTGGAGCACAGTGTAGGGGGCAGTAGTTTCTGCTTAGACTCATCCTGGACAGAGAACCAACCACCTGTGTTTCTTTGTTTGTTTTTGCTATAGGGCACGTGCGCTAGCCAGAAGGACAGAGAGACAGAAAGTGAGAAATCACCCCCAAGAGGGATAGCCATGCTGCAATCCCTTCTCCTCCATTCTCCTCTCGGGATCTTGGGCATGCACGCACACGCGCCCGGAGTGCGTTTAAGCCACTGGATCTGGGACTCGAACCGTGGTCAGCTACATGGGAGTTCAGTGACATAGCCATTATGCTAACTGCTAGTCCCCCATTTGTGTGGTTTTTTTAAAATAATTATTTATTTTATTTTATTTATTCATTCATTTATTTTCTAATTTGAGCAGAGAGAGACAGAGAGTGAGAGAAAGAGGAAGTGAGAAAGCAAGGTGCCAGAATCAGGACCCGAACCCTGGTCAGCCATGTGGGAATGTCCAGCACCTTTACCACCACGCCACCTGCTGGTCCCCCCATTTGTGTTTTTCATTTCAGTTCATTGTCACTACAGTTTTAGAAGTGTTTATCCCTAGTTTTGGATGAGGGAGCTGAGGTTCAGAAGGGTGATTTCTCAACGGTCACATAGCTTAATTAATGAGGCATTGACTGAAGGATTTGAAGCTCAAGCTTTCTGTTTAGTGTTTCTATTTTTTGCTTGTTAATAAAAGAATACCTTTGTAAAACAATACTAGTTATATAATACCTTTGAATTAAGCCTGTAGAATAAAAAGTGACAATTCTCACACTTAATGCCCACCCCCTTTCTTGTAGTCTACTTTCTACACCATTTATTGGTTGGTGTATGTCCTTCTTTTTTACTGTTGTTGAATGTACATGACTGTGTGTGTGCATGCATACACACAGTTTGTAGGGTGTTTTTCTCCATATAAATAGTTCAGCTACACTCCTGTTTCTCTGAAACTTGCTTGTTTTGGTTAGCACCTACATGAATAGACGTTTGTGTGTATTAAGTCTTTTTTTTAACCATTGCATAGTATTTCATCATATGGATATATCACATATTATTTGACCCATCTGTATTGACAGGTAGGTGGTATGTGGATTTTTGTATAAACAGTGCAGTATTAGCTCTTTCTTAATTTCAGGCTGCTGCTTCTCTTTTAAGAGTTCTAGTGAAGCATAAGGGATGCCTAGTGGAGGTAAAAAGTGGCAAGTGCAGGCACCAGCAAATGGCATAATGGTTACATTGCTGGACTCCCAAATAGTTGACCACAGTTTGAGTCCTGGACTCAGCAGCTTCAAACTCATGCTAGGCGCATATGCATGTGTGCTTAAAATCTTGAGAGGAAGGCCTGGCAGGTGGCATAGTGGTTAGGGGTGCTGGAATCCACATGGTTTGAGTCCCAGATCTGGTGGCTTGCTTTCTCTCTTTTATTCTCTCTCTCTTTCCTCTCACTCTGTCCCTTTTTGGTCAAATTAAAAATAAATAAATAGGGACCAGCAGTTGGCATAATGGCTGTGTTGCTGGACTCCCATGTAGTCGACTATGGTTTGAGTCCCAGACCTGGTGGCTTAAACTCATGCCATGCATGTGTGAATGTGTGCCTAAGTTCCTGAGAGGAGAATGGAGAAGGGATTGTGGCGTGGCCATCCGTCCTGGTGGGTGACTTCTCGCATTCTGTCTCTCTCTCTGTCTTTCTGGCGAGTGCATGCGCCTTATAGCAAAAAAAAAGCCTCTCCCCCCCCAAAAAAAAAAAAAAAAATGGAGAAATAAATAATATAGTTAATTTTTAAAAAGGGGGGATGGCAGGTGATGTGGTGGTTAAAGGCGCTGGATTCCCACATGTCTGACCACAGTTTGAGTCCTGGACCTGGTGGCTTGCTTCATGCTTTTCCTTTCTCTCACTATCTGACTCTCTCTGGTCAAATTAAAAAATAATAATAGCAAATGGAATTGATTAAATAAATGATTCTTTAAAAAGAAAACATCCTGAGGAGAATGGAGATGAAGGGAATTCAGTGTGGCCCTCTGGGAGGTGATTGCTTGCTTTCTGTCTCTGTCTCTTTGGTGCACAAACGCTCCTTATAGCAAGAAATTTCTCTAAAAGGAAAACAAGAAAGTGGGAAGTACATACTATGAAAAGCAGTGTATTCTCTGGCTTGTGCAGAATAGACATCTGGCAGGCTTGGCAATGGAAGAAATGCCCGAGCTTCGACCTTGAAATATTGACCTTTGATTCACCCTTCTCATTATTATTAGGGCTGTTACCTGTATGTGGGGGGAGCCAGCAGGAAGCCGTAGTCCCCAGAAGGGGCATACTTATGGGTCTCACCCCACGCCACCTTGGTATGATTGGGTTGCCACCTTGGTATGATTGGGTAGTGACATTAGTATCCATGCAACACCTCTATAGAGGCTTAATGGCCAGGGTGGCTACGAGGATAGCTAGCTGTGTGTGGGATGCTGTGTACTTCACTAACAGAGGAATTTATGATCCTTATCTATTTTTTTATGCTATTTCAGAAAATACTGTCACTGTCACTATCATAATAGTCATCAATTTTATATATA